GTTTGTGCTCTTTTTAATATCATCATGGAATTCGGGTTCAGGAGATACATTTTTCCAGTTTACAACTGTGATTTGGTTTGAGTTCTGTTTTTTCCTCCGTTACAGACGCCAGTATCGGTTATTTTGATTGCCGGTCCTGGACTAGTTATTGAATTTCGATTTTATGACAAACAACTTAAATATTTTGTCTTTACCGTTAGAAATAAAAGAGACCGGGAGAATTATCCAACACCACAATGGTTTCGTTGAAAATTTCTATTCTTGCCCAGAGGTGGGACAAAACTGGTGTCGTACTGTAAGTAATGTCTCAAACAAATTTCACTATCCCTATTCCACCCAGTTTGTTTGATACTCACGCGAACAACTAATCCAAAAAGCCAACCAAGATGAATAAATTTATCTTGTAGCACCAATTATGCACATATGAACGAAGTGAGACAGCTGCCCCGGGGTGGTCAAGCGAGTAGTCTTTATGCATGCATTCTGCTCGGCAGGTTCCCGGCTCGATTCACAGTTTGGTCGCGTTGTTGGTGATACCCACTTCCTGGTGGGTGTACAGAGGGTGTATGGAGCTTCCAAGCATCTCAGTTCAAGTTTCACCTGACCTTGAAACGAAGAGATTAACATGATAAAAATGAATCAACCCAACCTAACAGTATACACTAAATAAGTTAGTAGTGCACTCAAGATTTTAGGCATCGACCATGTTAGTTCAAGGACCAAGAAAGCTGTGGGCTCCCAGTCCGAAAGCTTGAGATGAGGGTCCATCTGAGGGTACGAAAACTGCTCACTGTTACCGAATTCTAACAAAGACAAATCAGCTGGCCAATACTTTTGTCGATTAATATTAATTGATTCTACTGCAAAATAACGAAGTATTATTTGCCGCTCTCCGTCGTAGACTTTTCTCTGATTTCAGGCTCTCGGGTTACTCCATATCGTTTATTCAATAGTAATAAGATTTATTGAGTGGGATACTTAATTAGGTACGAGAAGCTAGTTTTATTTGGGAGAAAATATACAATTTGAAATTGTCCATTTTACTTCATTTTCCAAGCAGCGCCATTCCGCAATCCAAAATTCAATGAACACTTTGATCGTGCATGGCCATAAGTTCATTTGGAAAACTATTCTATTCGGATAGTTACGTCATCTTCGCGTGTGTGTTGTGCATTGTAATCCTATGATGCAGTATTGTAGTGGTTGAAATACGCAACGATCACGAATTATGAACCACGAATCAGAAATCACGGAGGCCACAGAAGCTATGAATCACACTCACGAAGATATCCCACGTAACCGGGACACAAAGAAAAGACCACAGGAGTAGCAGTTTATTTATTGGAAGAAATCATGGGATTTAAATACTATGTACAAAAGTAGTTCATTGGTTCATTGTCCACATTGTATACAGAGTGTCAAATGGTTTGAAACTCTTTGGTATCACAGAAATAAATAAGTTAGAATGTTTAACATTCTTTAGCTTGATTGCTTATTAGAAGAAAAACGATAAATTGCTGTCCATTCAAAATAATAATAAAATGAATAAAAACATCAATGAAGCAATTAAAATAAATCAGTGAGAATTTTGTGCTATTGTTAGACCTAGAGGGCAATATTTTCTAACCCCGATAAGAGAAGGGGGGGTAGAAACCTGTCACAAATTAGGCTAATGCGGTGAATTCAAGATACATTGTTCATAATTGACAGACCGGATGAATGGTGACTGGCATTTCTTACCGATTGTTTACTTGTCCTCGTTAGCAGACGCAACCTGTCAAATTATCCCAGAAACAAGGAGTAAAAATTGTTCTAAATCAATAATATGATGATTTCATTCTAGCCGTGCTTACATAGAAACTGATCGTGATTCAGCACTAAATCAGGTATGATGCCAACTGGGAGACGATTTTCTTAACAACCTTCCTCGTCATTGTCAAGTCAGCCTACCAATTAACCTGTTTTCAAATTGTTACACGGGAGGAAATTTCAAAGTATTGTGTACAAAAAATGAGTTATACGGGGCACTCGTTGATCTCTGTAATGCAACGATTAGATTTTTTCTGGTGATCCTGGAGAGTTAGCGCCCGTCAGAGAAGTACTCGGTTCAGTTTCCCGATAGCCGGTGGAAAGAGTGGGACTATGAATAATCGTATCAATGATGGTATGATTTACACTATAATTCAAGCATGAATGTGAATTCCATTAGGACGGCTGAAATACTGCCAATTATCGGGCATCAACCACATCATTTGTCATTGTGATAAGCTAACCTTGGAACTTCAACGTGCATCAGAAGAGGATCAGGAGGGTTGTCATTTGATCGGTATTGATTTGAAGTGCAACAAATTGAACAATAAAAGTCTACATCAGAGAACGACTTTTAAGCGCACAACTCACACACTGAAGCAATAGATATTTGAAAATGTGAAACTGAGGTCATATCTAGGAAAGAAAACACAATAACATTGGCGTATATCTGCACTGTTTTGAGAAATGTGTTATTTTTTAAATGCACAGCTACTCCTTGACTTGCTTCAACAACGGTGTTGGTGGCGCAGTGGTTTCGTCGCTGTCATTGGCGTTCTTTGGACCATATGATCCTAGGTTCGAGCCCCGCCACCGCCACCCGACTTTGGTGGTAGGCAGCTCTACTGTCTTCCGTTTCAACACCACGCCTAACCTATCGGGGTCTTATGTGGTTCACCACTCCAAGTTCCGGGGCTTAGGTT